GTACGAGGGTGTAGATGAGCAGTCTAGTTGCACTTGTACGAGGGTGTAGATGAGCAGTATAGCTGCACTTGTACGAGGGTGTAAATGAGCAGTCTAGTTGCACTTGTACGAGGGTGTAGATGAGCAGTCTAGTTGCACTTGTACGAGGGTGTAGATGAGCAGTCTAGTTGCACTCGTACGAGGGTGTAGATGAGCAGTCTAGTTGCACTTGTACGAGGGTGTAGATGAGCAGTCTAGTTGCACTTGTACGAGGGTGTAGATGAGCAGTCTAGTTGCACTTGTACGAGGGTGTAGATGAGCAGTATAGTTGTACTTGTACGAGGGTGTAGATGAGCAGTCTAGTTGTACTTGTACGAGGGTGTAGATGAGCAGTCTAGTTGCACTTGTACGAGGTTGTAGATGAGTTGTCTAGTTGCACTCGTACGAGGGTGTAGATGAGCAGTCTAGTTGCACTTGTACGAGGGTGTAGATGAGCAGTCTAGTTGCACTTGTACGAGGGTGTAGATGAGCAGTATAGTTGCACTTGTACGAGGGTGTAGATGAGCAGTCTAGTTGCACTTGTACGAGGGTGTAGATGAGCAGTATAGTTGTACTTGTACGAGGGTGTAGATGAGCAGTCTAGTTGCACTTGTACGAGGGTGTAGATGAGCAGTATAGCTTTACTTGTACGAGGGTGTAGATGAGCAGTCTAGTTGCACTTGTACGAGGGTGTAGATGAGCAGTATAGTTGCACTTGTACGAGGGTGTAGATGAGCAGTCTAGTTGCACTTGTACGAGGTTGTAGATGAGCAGTCTAGTTGCACTTGTACGAGGGTGTAGATGAGCAGTCTAGTTGCACTTGTACGAGGGTGTAGATGAGCAGTCTAGTTGCACTCGTACTGTGTAGATGAGCAGTCTAGTTGCACTTGTACGAGGGTGTAGATGAGCAGTCTAGTACCACGTGTACGAGGTTGTAGATGAGCGGTCTAGTTGCACTTGTACGAGGGTGTAGATGAGCAGTCTAGTTGTACTTGTACGAGGGTGTAGATGAGCAGTATAGCTGCACTTGTACGAGGGTGTAGACGAGCAGTCTAGTTGCATATGTACGAGGGTGTAGATGAGCAGTCTAATTGCACTTGTACGAGGGTGTAGACGAGCAGTCTAGTTGCATATGTACGAGGGTGTAGATGAGCAGTCTAGTTGCACTTGTACGAGGGTGTAGATGAGCAGTCTAGTTGCACTTGTACGAGGGTGTAGATGAGCAGTCTTGTTGCACTTGTACGAGGGTGTAGATGAGCAGTCTAGTTGCACTTGTACGAGGGTGTAGATGAGCAGTCTAGTTGCACTTGTACGAGGGTGTAGATGAGCAGTCTAGTTGTACTTGTACGAGGGTGTAGATGAGCAGTATAGTTGCACTTGTACGAGGGTGTAGATGAGTAGTCTAGTTGCACTTGTACGAGGGTGTAGATGAGCAGTCTAGTTGCACTTGTACGAGGGTGTAGATGAGCAGTCTAGTTGCACTCGTACGAGGGTGTAGATGAGCAGTGTAGTTGTACTTGTACGAGGGTGTAGATGAACAGTCTAGTTGCACTTGTACGAGGGTGTAGATGAGCAGTCTAGTTGCACTTGTACGAGGGTGTAGATGAGCAGTATAGTTGTACTTGTACGAGGGTGTAGATGAGCAGTATAGTTGCACTTGTACGAGGGTGTAGATGAGCAGTCTAGTTGCACTCGTACGAGGGTGTAGATGAGCAGTCTAGTTGCACTTGTACGAGGGTGTAGATGAGCAGTATAGCTGCACTTGTACGAGGGTGTAGATGAGCAGTCTAGTTGCACTTGTACGAGGGTGTAGATGAGCAGTCTAGTTGCACTTGTACGAGGGTGTAGATGAGCAGTCTAGTTGCACTTGTACGAGGGTGTAGATGAGCAGTCTAGTTGCACTTGTACGAGGGTGTAGATGAGCAGTCTAGTTGCACTTGTACGAGGGTGTAGATGAGCAGTCTAGTTGTACTTGTACGAGGGTGTAGATGAGCAGTATAGTTGTACTTGTACGAGGGTGTAGATGAGCAGTCTAGTTGCACTTGTGCGAGGGTGTAGATGAGCAGTCTAGTTGCACTTGTACGAGGGTGTAGATGTGCAGTATAGCTGCACTTGTACGAGGGTGTAGATGAGCAGTCTAGTTGCACTTGTACGAGGGTGTAGATGAACAGTCTAGTTGCACTTGTGCGAGGGTGTAGATGAGCAGTCTAGTTGCACTTGTACGAGGGTGTAGATGAGCAGTATAGCTGCACTTGTACGAGGGTGTAGATGAGCAGTCTAGTTGCACTTGTACGAGGGTGTAGATGAGCAGTCTAGTTGTACTTGTACGAGGGTGTAGATGAACAGTCTAGTTGCACTTGTACGAGGGTGTAGATGAACAGTCTAGTTGCACTTGTACGAGGGTGTAGATGAGCAGTCTAGTTGCACTTGTACGAGGGGACTGAAGCTGGCATCACCATAAAGCCGTACCGACCATAAACTAAGTCGTAGAAAGGCTTATATGCGTTTATGAAACCTTTATATATAAAATAAGAAAACTATCTTTAAGTCAACACAACAAGATCGTAGTTACTGTCATAAAGTATTGGAGCCACCAACCACTAAATTATATCAGCCAAAATCCGTACTCAGCAGGTCTTAGAAAAACAATCTTTTTTAGTTCAACAATTGGTGACTAATCCAATGCTAAGTTTCAAAAATTCTATTATTTAGATTTTCAACCTGCCTATGGAAGCTTATTACCAGTTAATTAGACCGTTTTAACTTGATTGATTTTGTGGATGACGTGAAAATAAATTAACGTTTAATCGCATTAGAGCTTTGGGTCTAGTGTGACCCACTTTGGGGTCCCGTCTGACCCACGCCAACCAGTTCGGGCCTCACAAGAGAGAAGCTTCTGGAATAATAGCGTATGTAGGTGTTATCTCAAAGGTTTAAGAAAAGGCTATAAATACGTCTTACCAGAGGCGTCGCGGGGCGGGGGTTTGGGGGTGCGGACCGCACCGAGTGACACCATTTAGGGGGTGACACCATGTCGAAAAATTTCAAAATATATAGAAGAAATATGGTTTTTGCAAATTAAATTAATGATTAATAAGAGTTAATCCACCTGTATTAATAACCATGAGGTCACGCACCGGGTGACACCCGACCTCGCGACGCCACCGCGTCCTATATTTTATGAGATAACTGAGTTTTTTTAAAGGCTTATACAGAAGTTTGTAATGTAAGCAACAGTTGGTACATGTTCATGCTAACACACTTCCATTTTGTTTTCTGCATTCTGTTTCTACGGAATGCAAATGAACTTTTATTATCCAAGGGAGGTAAATAAAATATGGGTATTTTCCGCGTTAAGGATAACTCTCCCATATTAAGTTATACATTTAAAAAAAATGTACGTGTTGTGAACTAGTGCACAGTGACATAAAAAGGCCCACCAGTAACATACATAGTTAATTAGGGGGTGGGGGGGTGGGACTTCTATATCACCATTGTTACAAGACATAGCAGTCCAATCACAGAAACTAGATTTAGTTGCCTGACTTACAATGGCTAACTTTGGCCTCCCATTGAGAGCGAAGATATAGAGATTGTCTCCCATTCATAGATCACAATTAAAGAACACACCAAAAACAGACACAACACACGTTAACATTACATTTTTATAACAACACACATCTCACTTCAACACAAACAGCACACAGTTCAACACACACTACACAGTTCAATATATAAGAGACACATCAACACACACTACACAGTTCAATAAACACAAGACACGTGAACATACACTACACAGTTCAATAAACACAAGACACATCAACATACACTACACAGTTTAGTAAACACAAGACACATCAACATACGCTACACACGTCATTACACATTACCACGCTCTTCATACGTCAACACACATACAACACACATATAACACACATACAGCACACATACAACACACTCCAACAGGCTGGAACACATACACCACCAATCAAATAACAAAACATAACAAATCACACACCACCTCAACACCACTCCGTTCATGACGTCATCACGGCCGAGTTCAGCACCGACATCAAAAGAAAGCCCATTCTCCATCTCATCTGACTGAGTAAAAAATGGGAATAATCAAAACTACTACTATGATGAAAAGAAACCAATCAATGTATACATAGTTTAGTCCATATTTTATATATGTAAAATAACTGTAGCATTAAATGTGGTTACCTCACACAGACCACCATCTAAACTTTTAATGTATTGCTTCACAAATGTTAAATCAGAAATATGGAGGCAGTTTAATATTTTCACACAAAAAGTATAGGCTCGGTACAATTTTTTTTTCCACTTGACATAAACTGTTCATTTTGGTGGGATTTTTTTCCACTTGACATAAACTGCTCATTTTGGTGGGATTTTTTTTCCACTTGACATAAACTGTTCATTTTGGCGGGATTTCTGATGTGGTGACACCGAATGTTGTTACTGGGGTCTAGCAGGTCTAAACAACGTTCAGTGTTCAGTAATGGTCTAAAATTAGAAAGTAAAAAAATACACTGAGAACAACAGTGTACATGGCCTGTAACAAACTTGAGCATCATCTGCTGACCCACCCACCTAAATCAATAGCTACCAGTAAACGGATTACCCGAATTACCCGAATTACCCGAATTACCCGAATCACCCCAGCCTGACGCTAACAGTCCCACTGATCACAAGACTACCGCTCCGTGCATTCAAATGTTAATTCAACGTAGCCGACACACAGTTTTCAAACGGGAACGTAAATTTCTTGGCGTACGTCGAACAACTTTATTAGGCCTACCCCCCTCCCCCTGCCCCCATTGTCTTGTCGGGTAGGGCCCCTGCAGGTATAGAACACCTCGCGACGTCGAGATCACCTGTAGCCAGACAATGAATGGTGCTGGTGGTTACATTCAACACCGTGTGCTAACGCTAAAAAAGACAGTCCAGTCATAGCTGTCCCAACTATGCCCGATGTACCTTGAAGGTTGGTGGATTAGTGTAAAATTTGTTTCCGCTAAGACACTTGAGATAGTTGAGAAGGGGACCATTTAGAGGTTTCATTATTTGAATGGTGATGAGATTTTAATTTACAGGGGCTGAAGGACATGAGTGGATGATGTATCATGTCAACTAAAGCAGGTTAGTGTCGTGTTGTTGGTTCAGTCCGTGTGTTAGTTACTACACATTATGTGTAGGGCTGAGGGTTTACATAGTTAATATGTTGCACGGCTGAGTAGTCTAAACATTGAGTTAAAAGATTCAATAATAGTCATAAACCTTTGATCGAATTTTAGATACGTCACGTGTCCAATTTCTGTCAAACCGTTTTGACCTAAACTATAAATAAACTTAAGCCAAACCCATTTCATAACAATGTTATGTTGTTATATTGGACAGAGTGGCCTAGCGGTAGAGAGCAAGACTGCTAACCGTGAGTCTTAAGATTGAATCTGGCTTGAAGTCAGTAGACCGTCCCTGAGTCAACCCAGCTCATATATGGTACCTAACTCGCGTCAGGGAAAGTAAAGGCGACTGGGCATAGTACTGACCAAAGTATCCCTTAATATACAGAGGCAACAGAAACAGGTGAACTCTACTTCACTTGCCCCATAGACCGTCAGGTTTGGAAGGGGAACTTCACTTTTACTTTATATACATTAGCCCAAGCACTTGTATTAGTCTTCTTAGTACATCTTTCATATGTTGAAGGCTTTAGAATCATAGAATTTATAATTTCTCTAATTTTACTTTACCATTTATACATATTTACGTTCCTCAAAATCCCACGCGCTTTAAATATCTAAATAATCAAATTCCACTCACATACTATTTCTCTCTGATTTAAAGTTCCCTAAAATCCAGTTCCCCTAACTTCTAGTTACACTAACTTCCAGGCCACCATAACAATGTGATTGATCTATGAATTCAATAGCGCGGAAGTCTTAGAAGTCTGTGATTTAACTACAGGCCATCAAGAGTATGACAACACAGCACTGTGTTCCAGCTCATTAAAACGATACCATCAAGTAGCCGACTAATGAGCCACCGTTAATCCACGCATACAGGTGTATTCCGCACCTAATCGATATATTCTATCAAATCAATACAGCCAATACTTAATGTGTTATAAAACTATTTAACTGAGGTCACGGCTGATTAACGGTAGGCTAGCCCACGTGATCAGAGATCGATGATATATTTGGATTTAATTAATGGGTAGCATGACGCCAAACAATGGAGTCTCCGTTACCTGTGTGTTCTGGTTGTGTTTGTCTCCACACGGCACCATGTGCTACACCCCCACACTGGGTGATACAACACAACCCCCGCACCGTGTGATACCCCCCGCACGATTTTCTACCCCCGCACCGCGTGCTACACCCCCACACTGGGTGATACAACACAACCCCCGCACCGTGTGATACACCCCGCACGATTTGCTACCCCCCGCACCGCGTGCTACACCCCCACACCATATTCTACACCCCCTGTCTATGTGTTGTGTTACACCTCCCCCTCCGCACCAAATGCTACACCCCCTAACCCCCGCACCGTGTATACATCACCGCATGATTCGCTCCCCATCCACGCACGTTGTGTTACACCCCCTGTACTATGTATTACACCCCGCACCATGTGCTACACCACCCCCCCCCCCCCGCACTACTCTACGTGTAAAACAATAATCTATGTGTTACAACCACGCAGCCTGAAACACTTCTCTACTATATGCGTTGCACACCAACCGTCTGTGCTATATCCTTATACTCCGTGTGCTATACCCCGAACTCTGTGAACCTCACCCCGCTTGTTACACCCCCCCCCCCCAAGCTGCCTTAAACTCCCCACTACGTGTGTTACACAACGTATTTATCCCTACACCCTTACTACTTTAAACTACTTTTTATTGTTTAATTAAGTTTGGTCAATTTTCTTTAATGTACTTTCTATTTTTCAATTGTGTTTTGCTTATATAGACCTCAATGCGGTGATTTTTATCCAGTAGATTTATTGCGGTTGGGGTGTAGATTATGTCAATGGTTTAAAATTCTGGGGGGGGGGGCATTAATCTGAATTTTGGGCTCGGGATCGGTGAAGTCTGGCAGTCCCTCAGTACCTAGCTGTACCTGACTAACACGTCAGTGATGTAGACAGGGAGGTGTTCGGGCGGGGGGGGGGGGGGTGGGTGGGGGATGGGGGGATACTAGTACTCCCTTCCTCAAAAGAGCCCCAAAATGACAATTCTCTAACACCGAGTTACAGCTATACCAGCCTTTTAGCTGCGTGACGTCCGTGGACTTGGTGGACTAGTCTGGTCCCCAGAGAATCTCAAGTGATAATTTTTAACGCTACTTTAACATAAAGCGTTTTAGAATTATTGAAACAGCGCCAGTGAAAAAAGCGTCTCTTCTCACCGGCCGAACTGATCTTAGCAGTCACTTCCGCCTTGTGCTGAGTATTTCCTCGGTAGATCACGTGGTATCAGGACCAGAAGTCTCACGTTGCTTCCCTCGCAGGCTCCACCGGCCGTGTTAGAGCTATGTTGTCTGGTGTGTTGAGTGACGTACGAAGTTTCAACTAAAGATTGACCGAAGTCTCTAACAGCAGTCACAATATCCGACTGAAGTATGTTAGTGCATTTTGGTATCCGTTAAGAGAACTTTACTTAGGTGCTGAACTGAGTATTGACTGAAAATACAACAATCTTGTGTAGACTCATCAAGAAATTTGTTTCCCCAACCATTTGTCATACAGTCGTTGACTGGTCAAGTCGACTCGCAATTTAAAAGATTAAATTTGGCAAGCTGATATGTGTGAGAGTGAGTGGGTGTTTGTCTATTTTTAAATCACACGATATTCTGTTTGATTTGAACAAAATGGAACATTACACCGGCATATCAAAACACTTTCATGCATAATTAAAGCTATCCCTTAGTTAAAACAAAGTGCTACATTCAAATCATTTCGATACAAATGGCAGTTAGCACAGTAATAAAGTTAACACAATAATAAATTAGTCATTAGTGTTTAATTAGTGTGTTATAACAGCTAATAATTATGACAAACTGCCGATTGCATTAGTTTGTTGTAATAGCTTTCTTCTAAAAACAACAATAGTCGACAATTTTTCTCATTTAGTTTTTTTTCCATGAGCTAGCTAATCCAGTATTTAATTCTAACCTGAAAAAAAAAACAACAACGGTGTAGATTTTCTTCGATATCTATCACAATCCTTTCAAAGATTGCACTGTAGACTTCAACAGATATCGTTTTAAAACTTTTATGACAATTCAACATATATATTTTAAAAATGTGTGTTGCCTCCCTTGAAACCATTAGTTATTTCCCTTGAGCGTATTCATATTCATTAGAAAGCGTGAAGTATTCATCTTGTTTTATAAAACTAACAGTTCACTGAACTACTTGGATAGTAGAAACATAATGCTTTAAGTAGCCGGGGTATGCGATGGTGATGTCGTCATATTATGTTTCTTGACTTAAATGAAATTCTGTCGATGACTAAAAATTGTTGTATGGAGCTGTGGCTGATATTGTAGACTTAATGCTTGATGGTTTTTCTAAACGCTTGATGGTTTTTCTAAACGCTTGATGGTTTTTCTAAATGATTGGTGGATTTTCTCTGTGCTTGATGGTTTTTCTAAATGCTTGATGGTATTGTCCTATATTTAGTTTTGTTGTCCTACATTTGATGTCCTACTTTAGCAGGCCCTATCCTACAAGTAATAGGATTAAAATATCCCAACCCGTTTCATGCATTCTTCTTTTAGTCACCGTTTAAAATATTACCGAGTTTTAGTTTGTGAATAGTTTAATAACATGAAATGTAAAACAAAAAACCAAATTGTTTAATCTTTAATGTAAAATAATTTATATGGTGTGTCAGTGCTAACAGTATTTTGAACATTTTGTCTTCAGGATGTCGCTCACGCAAGACCGAAACTAGGAAATAACATTCAACATGGCGGCGCCGTCCACGTGAGAAACAAAATGGCGACCAGAGCTATCGACAAACTGCGGGTCCAGGGCCGGGGCACCCCCCGAGTTGAGAACAGACCCTTGAAACTTTTTCAGGCGTCGATAGAACAAGCAAACAACGGTACCCAGGTGGGGTGGCAGTCTAAAAAACTGAGCGGCACAGGCGAAACAATTCCTGGCTCCGATATAAATGGCGAGTTATCAAACAAAATCACAGGTCTAAGTTCAACCAATGAATCGAATGGTGTTTACGATGAATATCCAAACAGTCAGTTTTCTGATTCCAGAACTTTCCTGGTCAGGGGTAAGAACGTCGGCACTGAAAACGAGCTGCCTGTGTTCTACCAATCAGCTCGCTTGTCTAAGACAACAGGCGAGTCGAACGGCTCCAGAGCCGACCGACAGGTGCACTCGGAGTACACACTCCGCCACTACTCCACCCAGATGTCAGAGAGGGAGGGGGAGGGTGGCTACCTCGCTACCAGCGGCTCGATGAACAATCTCAGCACCACCTCAGAAGATTCCAGAACAAAGGAACCGTCAGCGAATGTTAACTCACGTTCCCAGAAGCCCTTCTACAGAGCCGCCCATTTGCGGCACTCGTTCCACGACCTTGAAAGTTTGACCTTGAGAGGTCGGACAATGAAACAGGCAACAACGAGCCCAGGTGCATACAATACTGACCTAGATTACCTGGTGGATAAAGAAATCCAAAACGAATGGGCGTCACCAAGGATGACGTCATTCGCCTCAGCGCAAGCGGCCAATCGCCGTCGTAAATCAAAACCCAAGACGAACGTGGACGATTCGATCAAGCAGAACGAACAGTCAGTTCTGCGAGAATGTCTTGTGGTCAAGCCTTCAAGCCAGACGTGGCCAGAGACTCACTCGACGACCAACGAAAACCTAAAGCTCAAGTTCTTCACGCAGTTCGTCAAGAAGGAAGTCCCAGCCTCCAGCTCTGAGAGGAACACCAAGGCAGAAAAACCCTCGCCCAGTGGGTACCAGTTTAACTCGATCAACAGCTACATCAACTTCTGTCAAGGCTTCCCAAAACTGGACACTTTCCCCCCGTCCAGAATGAGCGTCAAGAACGGGCTAGTGGCTAAAATAGGAGACGCGACCCTGCCGAACAAGTTCCAGAAAGAAGCGCTGGGTGAGATGAGGGTGTTGGGCAGCTCCACAGCCAGGGAGCCGAGGGTGAGCGGGACACACAGACAGACGACTGGCAGAAACCCACGCGCTACTAAACAGTCATCACGTGTCAACCGTAGCGTGAAATCTATAAATAACCACGAGGGCAGCGATGCCCAGGAGTCTGAGAAAGATTCTGAGGAGGGAGACAACTCGGTCCCTGATAACTCTATCCAAGCCGGGAGTTCCGACACGATTCCAGATGACGTCACAAAACCACGTTTTGATGGCCCCTCTGAAGAGCTGGGCCATTTTGAGTCGATTCTTGGCCGACCTGGCCAAGCTAAAAGCGACAGCTATTTAAATTCAAACATAGACTGAGCCCGTTTTGATCGGCTGCGTCACTGTCCCACAATGTTTCGAACCCCGACTAAGCTGGTGATGGTGTGGTCCACCACGCTTTATATTGTTATATGGGAAATGTTGTACATTATCTTTATGTTACCAGTTTTTGTACATAGTCGACCGATACAAGTATTATTAATTATTATTATTAATTAACATTTTACAATTCAGTTGCTGTGTTAACAAATTATGGCACATTTTAAACACATAAATTATGTTCTGAAATAAAAAGTAATTTATATGCTTTAGTGTTGGTTAAAATCCTCCTTTAAAAAAGAGCGTTGTTTACTGTCTATTATAATCAAGTGTACACAATTGTTTAAAAAAAACAGACTGTGTTCTACAATTTAAATTCCAGTTCAGCACTAAATCACACTGCTCTGGTACAGTGAGCCCCACCTATAGAGACCTAAATTAAATAATCTGTTATGTAAACCATTTCCATAACCCCGTTTTTTAATATACCGAATAACTCACTACATATCATCAACATAACCGATCCATTAAACCTGGTTATAACCGTTCAACCATCTCCTAACAACCTGGTTATAACCGGTCCACCCAGTTCAACCATCTCCTAACAACCTGGTTATAACCGGTCCACCCAGTTCAACCATCTCCTAACAACCTGGTTATAACCGGTCCACCCAGTTCAACCATCTCCTCACAAGTCTGAACCAGATGATTGTATGAAAAAAAAAATATTTTAAGCTGGAGGACATTCATCTTCATGGCCCAAGTAGACCGGAGGACATTCATCTTCATGGCCCAAGTAGGACGGAGGACATTCATCTTCATGGCCCAAGTAGACCGGAGGACATTCATCTTCATGGCCCAAGTAGGCCGGAGGACATTCATCTTCATGGCCCAAGTAGACCGGAGGACATTCATCTTCATGGCCCAAGTAGGCCAGACAGGAGCAGACGACATGCTGACGTCATTCATTATTGAGCTTATTAATTGCACTGCCAATATCTGTAGTCATTTATTCCATTAACCTAAAATTACTGTGTATGCCTTCAGGACAATCCAGATGGTTAAAACCACGCCATATCACATATAACTCACATAATTTATATGTAGGACCTGCTGAGCTGTACACTGATAAAACACCATCTCCAAATACATGGTATAATTAGACTAATTAGATAATTAGCTGCATTAGATTATCTGACTTTTGACGTGGAGTTACAACATTCACAATGCATGAAAAACTCTTTTATTCAGAGAAATAAACATTAATATTTGAAATATAGTGTTTTCAAAAAGTAAAGCAACGTAAAAAAAATGGGTATTTAATACCAAGAATCAGACTAGTCGCCTCATTGTGCAATAATATCTCATTATGAAAACACCAATCAAAATACTGGCTAAACCCATTCTTAAAATATAATTGCAGTGAATAAATGGCAAATTTTGCTTAATGTATAAAACTGTATTGCGAAATCGCAGAAATATTCCCTTTTATATTACAAACATACCCTATAGTGTTCCCCCCCCCCATACCATCGGCATGTTTATGGGTGGCCCCTGGGTGGTATGGGAGCGCTGGTCAATTAATGCTAGTCCAGGGACCCCCCGCATACAGATGGCGGGGTTCTGATGCGTCACACCACTGTGTCGAACTTAATTCCAGACCGGCGTCATGACGTCATTGGGGTTTTGTTTCAGAACTTCTCAAGGGAGGCAATCAGACGGTACTAAAATGACTTATGTTTTAGTTTGTAGGGAAGGTAAAAAAAGTGATGGATTAAATAATCATAGTAATTGTATAATTCAGATGACCATTAAGGAGTTAATCAGACTATCAAGAAGTTTTTTTTAAATACTGCTATGACTATTCACTGCTGTCGACAATCCACCGATGATTAGCACGTCACACAGTTTCTCATTTTTAAAAATTAAACAGTGAATTCTATAGTGGTCTCAGAAAACATTTTTTTAATTGACTTAAAACACTTAACAAAAAACGATTATGTCTGAAAAGTTTGAACAAAATTTTTGAGCGCAGTTGATCAAAAATTGATTTACAAGTTTTGCTATAAACCTCCAAACAGATGTGGCGACCGAATTAAGAGCCTATCATGATATACATGTAAAAACTGCAGTACACTTTAATTTACAATAATATTAATCATGCAGTAGCTTTATAGACATAGAAAATCATTTTCCCCTTTTAATGCATAGAAAGTATTTCCCTTAAAGGTTTCTATAAACAAATATTTTCAACGTTTTAGTATCTAGGGTTTATTTTACAGTAGACTCGAATTAAAAAAAAATATACTGCGCTCATATTTCTAAATTACTGTTAACATTGTGGAAATTATCCTAATTAAATTTGTCCGCATTCGTCCACAAGAAAGAAAAACATGTGATATGTAGTTATCTTTAAAATTATGCTGGAAAACCATTTTGAAAACTTCGTGACTGATCTGATTAAAATGTATAGACTAGTGTATTGTTATCTGATATCACTTACGTGCTAAGTAAAACATAAAAAAACACAATTCAGGACACGTAGGTAATAAAACAGATTGACTTTTACTTAACATGACAAAAGAGTCGCGTATAAAAAAAAACCTTGTCGAATAAAGCGGGAATCATCTCCCCTTTCTCGAATATTCTTATATTCTTATATTATACTACGGAAGATGGCAACTCGGGATATAGACATGATTTTAAATCAATTTTTAATTACTTAAGCTTTATTAAAAAACATGTATATATATATATATATATATATATATATATATATATATATATATATATATATATATATATATATATATATATATATATATATATATATAAAGAGAGAGATTTAAGATGTATAATTGACATGTTACTCTATATTTATGTACACATATCCACTCAGCTATTGTTGTACTTTGTATCGCGTCGATAGCCTATGCCTCTACGTCGTCGTTAAATATCTCTTAATCTCAGACTAATTTTATGGGCATCACGTGACCGGTATCTTCCTGTCGTTAGATACTGGACTTTCCATCCCCGCCCAGGCTATATCTGACGTCACATCCCCCCAGGGGTGACGATCCCCTCGCACAAATAAACGCGGCGGGGGTGGGGGTGGGGGTGTGCCAGTAAAACAATGTCATTATCGACGACGTATCTACTTTTTATAGACCGCCGGGCTGGCTTTTGAAGATAGCGAATGAAGAGTTTAGAACGAGAAGCTCGACTCAATATTTGATAAGCTGTGCAGCTCGGACTCACTCACGCTCTGGTATAAAGCCGCTCACCCCAAGCTTACGATGAGCAGTTTCGGTAAGCCGCAGGAAAGTGTCGGGCATTCAACTAACGGATGGCCTTAACATCTGAAAATATTCTTTTGTTATAAGTTTGGTTGTAACTGGACTAGAAATAAGTTTTTTGTTAAATATTTTAAAAAAAAATTAAAGTGACTATATATTTCTAAACTTTAGGTAAGTCTCAGAAATGTGGTTGAAATTTTGTAATTAATCGTGAAATTTTAAGATGTAGTTTTAAAATTTTGATTAAGATACTTATCAAAGAACAATCTGGTGAAGACACATGCGTAAGATTTTGTTTTAGATTGATACACTAAAACAAACGATTTCATTATAGTTGCTAAAGCTGTGTGAATTAATTGAACCGATCTGTTTTTCTGTATGCCGAATGCGCACATGAGAATCACAACATACATTTTTTTCGTCCGTTAAATGGAGATTTAACGAAACTGTTATTTTTCTCCGGGGAGGGGGGCGGAACTGAAAATTCCGGCGGGGGGGAAGGGGGGTGGGTGGAACGACGACATTTTGTTTATAAAGTATATTAGTTCGGGGTGGGGTGGGGGGTGGGAGAGGTAGACGAGCCCCCCCCCCATAGATGCCTGAAAAAACTATGCTTACCAGAAAGTTTTGAGTACGATTCCGGGTTAAAGTTCGTAGAAAGTCCCTGAGTCTATCCAGCTCTGATGGGTACCTGACTCACGTTAATGAAAGTAAAGGCATTTAGGCATTATGCTGACCACACAATCACGAGGTCAAAGAAACAGACGAACTACACTTAAACTGCCATATAGACCGTCATGCTCAACAGGGAAGATTTAGCACGATATCTTTCTGCGATTAGTGAATTTAAAAAAAAATAATTTAATTTTTGTTTCACTTGCCACATAGACCGTCAGGTTTGAAAGGGAAACATTACTTTACTTGTAGGATTTTCATGGAGCTCCTGATTGGATATTTAGAGAAACTACTTCAGTACCAAACTAAAAATATGTCTCAAATCAACTGATTATTTAATATCGAACCATTCTTTTTTCTACTTATTCCACCCAATCATAATATATAATCATAATATATAAAAGCTCATGTGGCACTTCTTTCTCTTTCTCTGTCCGCAAGTTTTTTTTTTTAGGCTATGTGATCAGTATGTTCAGCCATATATGGAGAACTTAAAGATACGGAATTTTGTTGAAAATAATAGGTTGGATGTTTTAAATGTATAAACTAAATTTTTTTAAAGAAGAAAAATAAAGGTGAAGGCATATTCAAATGTAGAAACACTGTTTTAATTATGCAACCGGAAAAGCATTTATTGTTGTGAAAAGACGATAATCAATGTCGACACATGTCACATGTTTAAACTACGGAAAGTACACAAAACTAATGGCGTCATCTTACAATTTTAGAATAAGAAGAAATTAACTATTTTATTAATGTGATTTAGGTCAATAGATCTTCTTATCAAGACTTACAATTATCTCGGCCAAAAGTAAGACAAATTACTTTAAAAAGCAACGTAAATATCATTGAACAGCCGGGTTTTTAATGGAATCATTTAAGTCTCTTATTCAGTGTGCGCAATAACTATGGTGTTGTGTTGACTAGTAATATATATAGTTTGGTTTTTCTAATATGTATTGGTAGCCTATATAATTTTAAATGTATCGGACATTTAGCTATTTAGTTATTTCTTTGCTTTGTCACTGATATCGTTCAACGTGTGGTAAAGCACATTGCTTTTATGACCAATAACTATTTTTATAAAATACTTTTCACAAACAAGTGTAACGTTAAATTATACAGGCCTATAATTCACGTGTAACGGGTACCGACGGCTAGTTTAAAGTAAAGCGGGAGTAATCTCCAATATAATTTATCGTTTATTAAACAGTAACGGGGGTGGCACGTTCAGTGCAATGGTGTAATAGAAGTGTTTTTTATTATTTAAAAAAAAAACTTAATTAAATAAACCGAGAGTTATCTCCGCTAAACTTTCTCGAATATTCTTATATAACACTACGGCGAATGGCAACTCGGGTTACAGACATGACTTTTAATCAATTTTTAAGTACTAAAACTTTTTTAGAATATAATAAAATCTCGTAGAAAAAAGAATTGCGCACCAAGTGAACGCCAACAATATGTGTATAGTAGTGCGAAATATTATTAGTAGCGTAAATTACTTTTTCCGGTCAACGGAAATTACTCAAAATTTGACTGAAGGCAGAGAATTTGATCTTATACTTATATGTAAAATTTCATTAATCTATCTGAAACAATACCAGTGTTTCTTCCAGACTTTTTTCTCCGGGGGGCACTTGAAATCTTCGGGGGGGGGGGGGGCGGTAAACTTTCTTCGGAGGGGCGGACACTGTTAAAAGTATATATTTTCTATATAAATTATATAAATTTAATTTCGTTCGGGGAGGGGGCGGTAAAAAATTTTCGGGGGGGGGCTTTTTCCCCCCCGAAGAGATGCCTGGAAGAAACTCTGAACAATACTCAAGCTAAAGGCTTTAGAAAAATTGAAAATTACTGGAAATCGCTGAAAAGTTGATACGGATCTACAAATTTGATTAAATACTTATATAGGACATTTCATCAACCTAGCTGTAACGGTACTCAAGTTACGGACAAAATTGCAAAACTATGTTTTTCCGACTCAGCGAGGTGCAAAACCTCGAGATTTGTTAAAATCTCGATTTGTTTTTCACAATTACAATACTTCCTTTATACTACGTATACGAGAAAGTAAAAATAGAATAGTAAAAAAATAATTGCGCAACAAAATGAACGTAAACAATGAATGCATAACAGAGGAGAATATTAGTACTTTATAAACGAAACCATTTATACTTTTTAATATGTTAATTAAACACCTAATTAAGTCACATTTTATGTCACAGTTCATCGTGAAAAGTTTGAAATAAATCCGTCCAGTAGTAGTGATATCTTTTGGGAAACCCGAAACAGCGTAAAGTAATACTTTCGGTCTCCTGAAATCACTCAAAATTTAACAGTAACAAGGTTATAGCATCTTATACCTATTTTTATGTATACAAGTTTGATAACCTAAGTGAACCGGTACTTACGTTACCATTATTTTAGAAACCGGAAGTATAGTAAAGTACCACTTCCTGTTATTGGAGGTCACTTTTTAAAGAAATCTAAATATAAGATCTTATACTTATACATGATTTTTTTTACCTACCTGAAACAGTACTCAAGTTAAGGTATTCACACGGAATTAGAGTAAAACAACACATCCGGTTGCCGAAAATCATTCAAAAGTTGATAGAATACGGCACGTACAATTTAGTACATATGTATGAACTTATGTCAACCGAACTTAAACATTGCTCTAGCTATTGGCTTTTGAGAAACCGAAACTAAATTATGAACCACTGCCGAAAATCCCCCAAAAGCTTAGACAGAACTACAAATTCGGTATAATACTTATATATGAAATTTCATCAACCTAGCTGTAACGGTACTCAAATTGTCGTGTCCACACACAAACACACAAAACACAGACAAACATACAGACACACAAACATACAGACACAATTTCAAACTCAGTTTATCCGACTCAAGGATGTGCAAAACCGATTTTTAAAAAAAAAATGTACAAATGTTAAAGTTTTTAATTACACAACCTTTTGCAGGTATGTCAGGGTCCAAAAAATCAACGGTGTTTTTACTGCAGTGGGTGCTCGTATTCCTGGTACATCTGGTGCCAGTCGCCACTGTTTCACCTGAGGAGGAGGAACGGTTTTACACCAACGCTAGACACAGGTAGGTCAATCTCTCAGGTATTACTTTTGTGATACCAGTAACATTGATACCTAATTTTGTGACATCTCTAACATTGTTACCTAATTTTGTGACAAATGCAACAATAATACCTTAATTTTGATTGCGGGTACTACAACATTAAATCTTTATTATTTTAAATTAAGTCCATAAAAATAGTTGAAAGTATCGGAGAATACAAATTATTAATTGCTAGAACTGTACAAATACAGCTGATCGGTAATTTTGCCAGGAAATATTTGAGTAACCAGTTGAAACAAGGAAGAGCAGACATTTGACAGAGTTTGATAAAAATACTCACTGCACCAAAACATAGTTCCATCTTGCTACCTGACCTCAATGAGAGGTCACCCTCTAGATATGAGTGTTGTTAAACGCGACGTATAGCGAAACCTGTGTTGAAATAAGTATTAGCCTAACAATACATAACCAGCCATGTACGTGATTATTGCCACATCTTTTAACCCTTGCTAATCCCCCCAGTTGACAATAGGTCATAAATATCTGATGTGATAAACTATGTCTTTTGCTCACACTAATCGCGGAGCTTAATATAAGTGTTTTTATATTTATAGAAAGCATGATTTCTGTGTATAAGTTTAAGAGTGTTATAACACATGTGTTTGCTTTATATATTTCCATTTTTATTTATAGTTTATATAACTTTTGTTTGTTGTTGTATTATGTTTTTGTGTATCGTGTTGTGTAGTGTCATGTTTTATGGTGTTATTTTATGTGGTGTTATGTTTCGTGGTGTTATGTTTTGTGGTGTCATGCCTTGTGGTGTTATGTTTTGCGGTTTTATGTTATGTAGTATCATGCCTTGTAATGTTATGTTTTGTAGTGTTTGTTTTCTAATGTCTATATTTTGTAGTTAGTTTTTCGTATACTTTTTGTATTTTGTGTTATGTATGTCATTTATGGTTCATAATTAATCGAAACGAATAAGTTCCCTTTTCGAACCCCATGATACATGGAACAAGTAGAGTTCACCTGTTTCTGTGACTCGGCATATGAAAGGATAGTGTGGTCAGTACTATGTTCAGCCGTATTTACTTTCCCTAACGTTGACTCAAGGACGTTCTTAAACTCGTGACATTCTGGTTAGGAGACTGACGCTCTACTGCTAGGCGATGGTTGCGGCGAATGACTTGTAGTAATTATGTTTTGGTGCTAGAATTTATGAATGCATGGTTTGATCTTTCAAGGTAAAAAACACATGTTCTGTAAGTCGTTAAGTCAAGGTTTTTTAAAAATAATAATTCAAGTTTAAAATTCACTATATTGCTGCCACATAGTTTTGTAAGACAATCTGTATCTAATTTAAAACAATACTAGACTATCAGTATCTCCCCTCAGTTTTGTAAGACAATCAGTATCCCCCCCCCCCTCACGTTTGTTAGAAAATATATGCCCCCACAGTTTTGTTCTAAATAAAAACAGAAATAAACTGTTGTTTAACATATATAAGTATTTATATCCTAAAAACTTGTTCGATCATTATGTATGATTAAATAATTAAAGGCTTATTGAAGAATTGAATCTTGATTATTTTATTATTAAGTAGAAACTCTACTGTTCAAATTATGACGTTATTAGAGCCACTTTGCCACACAAATCTTGCAAGGATTTTTACTTCTCTTTATAGTTTAAAACTCTGAAAATAGCGTCAAACAGTTTAATCTTTCAAGGATTGTAATCACAATTTTCCCGAACCAAATTAAAATGTTTTATTTTCATCAACGGCGAAGCTTCTGTTCGCTGCCGTCGTGTAGGATTTCAAGAAACCAATTTTATTTTAGGAAACAGTTTCTATTCGCAGTCGTGGCAGAACGTTTGACTTGGCCTCTGGTGCTCTTTTTATGACCGTCATACACCATTTTTGTGTGCTAATAATTTAATAAGCAGTTAATTATTAAGCTGTTGATTAGTTACAATGCCTGGTGGCTTAGGGATTCTAGAAATAGCAACGATTTATTATTCTTTATTTGTTTTACTTAATGCAATGACTGGAAATATGCAATGGTAATTGAGTTAGTTATCTGGTACGGTAAATGTGGTTCTGGTATTAATTTGTGGTCCAATGGACTCTTTTGTGGGAGGTGGGATTAGTGCCCTCCACCAGGGTAGGATTAGCACATAGGGTAATGTCCCATTAATGTCAACTGTAGACCTAGAGGGCTAGTTCAGTTCACCAGTTGCATCCAATGATAGGTCAGTGCTCCTGTTACATACCATGATAGGTCAGTGCACCAGTTAAATACTATGATAGGTCAGTGCAACAGTTACATCCCATGATAGGTCAGTGCAACAGTTACATCCCATGATAGGTCAGTGCACCAGTTACATCCCATGATAGTTCAGTGCACCAGTTACATCTCATGATAGGTCAGTGCACCAGCTACATACCATGATAGGTCAGTGCGCCAATTGCATCCCATGATAGGTCAGTGCACCAATTGCATCCCATGATAGGTCAGTGCACCAATTGCATCCAATGATAGGTCAGTGCACCTGTGATATCCAATGCTAATTAAGCGTTCATAAAACGTGCCATTTTTTATTTATAGATAATAAATGTCTGATAAACATAAAACTATGATATATATATATATATATATATATATATATATATATATATATATATATATATATATATATATATATATGGATCGTTTTATGCAATAATAAATGCATGAAGACTAAAAAGTTTTAAACAGTTGTATTTTTTTGACAATTAAAACCAGATTTATTATGAAAGGTGTATGTTTGCCATCCTTGCAGTTTTAGGAAAAAAACATTTAAAACTGTGATTCCTTTTAAACCTAGTACTCCCTTCTTTAAACCTGATATTCCCTGTCGTTAAACCTACTATTATCCGTACTTAAACCTACTATTCCCCCTCTTCAAACCTACAATTACCAACATTTAAACGTTTGAGAGAGTCACAAATACAATCTCTAGCGAACACAAAAATGGAGCTAACAAGGCAAAGATTTAAAAAATAAATAACCGAGTTATATCCCTTTAACCTAGAACTTATTTCTGAACTACCAAACGTAAATATTTTTCACATCTAAAATAGGCCGGATTTCAATTTAATAGAGGCTATTTTTACAAACTTTATTTTTTACTTCAGGTTAAAAAAACAAGGTAAATAAATCAATCGTTGGTAGCTCACTCAGCTGAACAATTTAAAATAAAAATTAAAAATTAGTTGAGAAGAGCGTAATGTTTGGTCACATTAGTTTCGTGATTTTAGAAATGTTTACTTTTTTGGACAAAAAAGTATCAAAATAAAATTAAATATTAAATATTTGTAATTCGAATGCTCGCTGTGGTTTTGAGTTTTTTATTCCGCCGTAAAGAAATGAGATTAACGCGAAATTTAACACGTTAATATGTCCCGGGGGTGCGTCCGTAATTAGCCTAGGTGTTAGATTACCTTTGTAGAAGTGTAAACATTGCAAAGTCTAATTGAAACTTGCGACATAGAAATAAACAAAGCAGCCATATTGAAAGTCAAGTAACAGCAATGCGGTTTCTACTTGTAGGTCAGTGTGTTTGTGATTTATATCAGTTGGTCAGTGTGTTTGTGTGATTTATATCTGTTGATCAGCGTGTTTGTGTTTTATGTCTGTTGGTCAGTGTTTGCTTATGATTTATATCTGTTGGTCAGTGTATGTTTATGATTTATATCTGTTGGTCAGTGTGTTTGTGATTTCTGTCTATTGGTCAGTGTTTGTTTGCGATTTATATCTGTTGGTCAATGTCTGCTTGTGATTTATATTTGTATTCTTCCATGTAAGGTGTGTGAATGTGGTTTTCCATTAATGACGTCACATCTCTAAGATAAGGTTGCTGGAGGATTTGAGGGAGGGTGGTGAGGAGGAGGAGGCAGTATAAGAAATTGTTGCGTCACAGTTTTGGATTTAAAGAGTAATTTTAAAAAATTCAACAGCTCTTTCACTAGTTAAAAAAAAACGTTTTTTCTTTAAACATAAAGTGAATTGATTTATACACATAACCTATGCCGACCCACCTGTGTAAGCGTCACATTGATCTATGCACATAACCTATGCCGACCCACCTGTGTAAACGTCACATTGATCTATGCACATAACCTACGCCGACCCACCTGTGTAAACGTCACATTGATCTATGCACATAACCTATGCCGACCCACCTGTGTAAACGTCACATTGATCTATGCACATAACCTACGCCGACCCACCTGTGTAAACGTCACATTGATCTATGCACATAACCTATGCCGACCCACCTGTTTTAGCGTTAGAGAAAGGAATATCTGTTTTAAAACAGTCAGTGAACGGCATGTGTGGGTGGGGGTGGGGAAGGTTGGTGGTAGGGGTGGGGGGAGTAAATAATCAACATTTTTCTGACATTGGTGACGTTTGAGGTAAACAGCCTCATAATGTGACCTCAATAATTGACAAGTCATACGTGATCTGTGATGTTTAGATTACATTTAATAAATTAAGCGGTTATTTATTAATTTTGCTTTACATTAATTTTTTTTAAAGTAATACACCGTTTGAATGTAGTAAGCAAAATAGACATTTTAATTTTTCCTATTAAGATGTGTTCGGTAAAAGCGTTTATAAAGCAGATGGGGTTCGGTACCTCCAACAACTGTTCTAAGACAAGCGCTGTACCGGAGATTTGAGAAGTTAACGGGACGATTAACAGCCCAATAATTCCATTTATCTTTTGCAACAAGGGGGGGGGATAGAGGAAAGGGGTGGAGCGGAATGGTATCACGTTATAAATAGACGACCCTAAAATATCAAACTGCTATCAGTCGATCAGGCAAACAAAAAATCTCAGGAAAGCTCAACACTGGTTTGGCATTACATCTAACATGACAGACAGCCGTAAAAAACAGAACGGCTACAAATGACTTACTTCGAGACCCGATTGACCAAAATAAAACCAAACCGTCTACACACGTCCTACTTCGTGACCCGATTGACCAAAATAAAACCAAACCGTCTAAAAATGACCTACTTCGTGACCAGATTGACCAAAATAAAACCAAAACCGTCTACACATGTCCTACTTCCTCCCCAGATTCGCCACGTCATCACCAGCAATAGTCCTGGAGATCTGGCACAGAGACTGCCACAGGAGATGTTTTGCGCAGCTACTTCCCCAAGTTGAGATAGCTTGTCAATTCGATCCTTACAGGTTCGCTTTTTACCAATTTTAATTGCTTCCTCTATGCTTAATATCTTTTACTTGGGCGTGGATTGACAGGGGTGAGCGATATTTCGACTACTTCTGACAGAACAACTACTTTCAAGCTTGGCGCGTGCTTTGGGATTTTTTAACAAAATTATTTCAAGTAATTGGATACTTGGTTCGTTTTTGAGAATTAAAAATTTCCTTTAGAAAGTCCTACTTTCCGCACTATTATACGCACATTGTTTGAGTTCATTAAGTGCGCAGTCTTTTTACTTTCTCATATATACGAAGTATAGAGAAAGTCTTGTAATCGTGCAAAAAAATAAATCGAGATTTTTACAAATCTCGACGTTTTACATCTCACTGATACGGAAAAACATAATTTTGCAATCTTGTCCGTATGTCTGTGTGTGTGTGTGTGTGTGTGTGTGTGTGTGTGTCCGTGTGTAAACACGATAACTTGAGTACCTTTACAGCTAGGTTGATGAAATTTCATATATAAGTATTTTATCAAAATCGTAGATCCGTAGCAACTTTTGAGCGATTTCCGATAACCGGAAGTAGTACCTTTTCTACTTTGAATTTTTCAAAAGCCTATAACTTGAGTACTATTTCAGATAGATAAATGAAATTTGATATGTAAGTAAAAGATCTAATTCTCTAACTTCTGTCAAATGTTGAGTAATTTCCGTTTACCGGAAGTACTTATTCACGCTATTTCCGATTTCTCAAAAAAAAACGCATGTAAATTTATAAAGTACTAATAATATTGCGCACTATTATGCACATCTTTATTTAGCGTTCACTTGGTGTGCATTTCTTTTTTCTACGAGATTATATTCTATTTTAAATAAACCGGGAGTGATCTCCCCTAAACTTTCTCGAATATTCTTATATAAAATAACAGGGGATGGGAACTCGGGCTATAGACATGATTTTTAATCCATTTTAAATACTTAAAGTTTTAAAAATAGAATAAAATGTCGTAGACAAATTAATTGCACACCAAGTGAACGCCGAATAAAAAAGCGCATAATAGTGCGCAATAATATTATTACTTTTAAAATTTACATTAGTTTTTTGAGAAATTGGAAGTAGCGTAAAGTACTACTTCCAGTCAACGGAAATGACTCAAAATTTAATAGAAGGTAGAGAATTAGATCTTTTACTTACGTATGAAATTTCATTTATCTATCTGAAATAGTAGTCAAGTTATAGGCTTTTGAAAAATTCAAAGTAGGAAAAGTACCACTTCCGGTTATCGGAAATCGCTTAAAAGTTGATACGGATCTACGATTTCGATAAAATACTTATATATGAAATTTCATCAACCTAGCTGTAACGGTACTCAAGTTTTCGTGTTTACACACGGACAGACAGACAGACAGACACACACACACAGACACACAGACATACGGACAAGATTGCAAAATTATGTTTTTCCGTATCAGTGAGGTGTGAAACGTCGAGATTTGTAAAAATCTCGATTTTTTTTTTGCACGATTACAAGACTTTCTCTATACTTCGTATATACGAGAAAGTAAAAATTTGAGTATTTAAAATGGATTAAAAATCATGTCTAGAAGTCTATATCCCGAGTTGCCATCCCCCGTGGTGTTGTATTAGAATATTCGAGAAAGTTTAGGGGAGATCACTCCCGGTTTATTAGTTATATTATTCTATTGTACTAAAACTTTAAGAGCATTAAATTTTTTTTCAAACTAACAGAAATCGGCTAGGCTATGCTCCAGCCATCTATAATCAAGTGTAAATTTTAATGTTAACGCAGATATATATGTTTGAAGAAAAATTAAAAGCATTACATAAGGTTACGCTTAAAATGGTAATACATAAAATTTTCGAGATTTTAAAAATACCATCATCTGCCATTCCTTGATAACAGTTCATTACAATAGTAATTTAGAATTTTTATATCTAATCATCATTTAAAAAAAAATCTAATCACAATTATAACTTGCAACTTAGACACAAATCTTAACTGAATTTACTACTTTAAAATTGGTTTAAATGAAATCTTAAACTTGAGCATAAAATAATAAGGCACGATAAATTACTTTATTTTAATTTTTGTTTGTTTGACAAACAATATGAAAATTTCCTTGGATGTATCGTTAAAGATTTAGGCGCAATATGATAAAGCTTCGGAACACTTTTCAATCGGCTACTATCTGTTTTTAATAGGACGTCACATTTTTCATTATATTTCATTCTTTTATACATTTGGGCGGAAAATTAGTACTTTATAAAGAAATTTTAATTAGTTTTTTATGTTAATGAAACATTTTATACTTAATATTTTATTTCGCCACACCTTATGTCACAGTGCATTGTCACTGAGTCTTCACCTACGTGAACAATTTGAAACAAATAGGACGGTAGAAGAATATTTTTGAAAAATACTGAATAATACTACTTTTGGTAATCGCAAATCACTCAAGATCTGGACAAACTCAAGAGAATAATATTTGACACCTATTTGTAAAATTTCCTTTGTCTAACTGATACGGCACTTATCTAAATTGTATAAACTTGAACTAGAGTAAAGTAGCACTTCCGGATATTGGAGCTCAATTAAAATTTTGAAACAAAGTACGGTGTCTCATACTTACCTTTTACCCAACTTAAATAGTAATAAAGTTATCGTGTTTCGAAGGGAAAAGAATATACTTCTTTTCGTTCAAAAGTTGAAATGAGTCTTTGCATACAATCTGATACTTATAATTGTATCTAACTTACTTTAATAATGGTACTAAAGTTATCAGCTTTTGAGATACCAAAGTAGAGTATGTATTACTTCCGTTTACCAGAATTGTTGTAACGTTGACGGAAAACCTAAAAATTTCATACAATAATTCTATATGAAATTTGGTAAACAACTGAAATGGTACTCAAGTTATAGTGTTTACAGACACACAGACGGACAGGATGATAAAACAATTTCAACAGAAATGTATCAAAATTTGTCAGAATCGAGCTTTAAGTGTCTACACGATTACAATGCATACTTTATATTTGGTACACGATTCAGCAGACTTTGTCAAGAACAAATCTTCTGCCATTATCTGCAAACATCCGCTCTAATTGGTGTAATAATCCGAGAGACATTCTTCACTTTGTTCTTATAGATATTGGTGCACTAAAAATAGAGAAAAAAACATTTTTTTTAAAATATTTATAAACGAACCAATAATAAAATAACAAAAAAGAAAAACATTATCGATTTAGTAGACCTAATGTATTTTATACACAGTATAGTGAACCTTCCTTTTGTTTCATGTTATTTTACTAGCGGTTCATAATTATACACAAACATCGTTTAGATACTTTATGATTTATACACGATCACAGAATACTGTCCTCAAGTATTTGACACTATTTGACACTGGGCATTTTAAACGGCTTCCTTTTTTCTAGGGCCCCATATCCCACCAGATCAAGGCGACAGGTCAGCAGAGTGCCAAAAATAGATCAAGGTCAGATGGTGTTACCAGGCAACAGTTCAAGCTTGATTTCGCAATTAAGAACAGGGAGCAAACGGACAGAAGAAAAAGGTTAGCGATTCTGAAAATATTAGTTGTCCCGTTTCATAGTATATACATTTGTATATATATATATATATATATATATATATATATATATATATATATATATATATATATATATCCTACACAATGAAACTAATTTTGTAACAATAAACCATTCTTCCTCTAGCATCAGACGGGTCCCCATTTTTGGACAAACGTTCGGCCGCGACGTTTTTTAGAAAGAGAGCCGGTTCACTTTCCAGAGTCAAGAGGTCAGGCATCATGGACGAGTGCTGCTACCGGAAGGCGTGCGCATGGGAGGAGTACGCCGAATACTGCCACCGGCACCCGCGCGTGCCCCACTCCCGCCAGTCTGTCTGTACTTACAGCTAACTGCTGTCTCTTCACACCGTCGACTGGTGGAGCCAACCTGGAGATTATTATTTTACTAAGATATATCAGATAGATTTATAACATATCGTGGCTTTTCTTTCTTAAAAAAGTATGGGATTTAGGCATGACGATACACATATTTTAGTTATATACATTCTCCGATCCAAGTAAAAAAAATCTCTAAGATATATATATATATATATATATATATATATATATATATATATATATATATATATATATATATATATATATATATATATATATATATATATATATATATTAATGATAAAAGATTTACGATACTTAAAGTTAAAGGATAAGTTATATTATATTTTATTTAAGACGCATCACTGTAAAAGACCTAATTTTATCTTTGTTTGATGAGATACGCTGTTCTTGTCTGAATGGATGATAGATGCTACTGTAAGAGAACACAAAAATCTAAATTTAAAATAAAAACAATTTCTGTTTTTCAAACATCAAGTCATCGTTCTGTAATTTGTTTGGTTTGTGTGTGTTTATTTTAGTGCTAAATAATCAAACTTAATTTCCTTGCCAATTCTTAAAATACTGATAACATAAGTAACTTTTCAGTTCATTAGCATTATCTTTCCTGTTGACGCTTTCTGGAGCAGAGTTTCTTCCAGGCATCTCTTCGGGGGAAAGTCTACCGCCCCCCCCCCCGAACGAAATGGAATTTATTTAGAAAATATATACTTTTATTAGTGTCAGACCCCCTGGAAATTTTAGTCCGACCCTCCCTGAAAAATTCATGTTCCTCCCGGAGAAAAAAGTCTGGAAGAAACACTGTTTTTGAGTAAAAATACACAACTACACCGCTCCGTCGTACTCTGTTCTGTAAGATTCCCCCAAGTACGACCCACGACATTTCGGCTGGTTCAACTTCACTGACAGCTGCCCGTTCAGTTATGTGGACAACATGGAACAGAAATGATAAGATAGTTTATGTATGCTCCTAGTAATGTTTGGCATCCTGAAGTAGTATTTACAATGGACATGATACATTTAGTAATGTAATATATGTAATTTTGACGATATTTCATTAGAACTATTAGATCCTACAAGTAGGCTTCCATCGATATTTAACGGATTTCCGGTAACCGAAAACGGTACTTTATTTCCTATTCCTTTAAAACCGTTAATGTATGATCATTTTATATAACATCTTCATCCAATAGATTATTTTAAAAACTTTTTGTCTCTATGGCTTACGGAAAAGGACGGTTTACGGAAGATTGTTCTAGTTTTATAAAAATAATACGCAACAGTTTGCTAACACAAATATACATAACTATTTGCTCTTTATGAATAAGATGCTAACAAAATAAAATAAAGTACGATTCATTCATTTTGTTTGCTTCATTGGTATGTCATCAAATATTGGTTCCAGTTTTTTTTTATTCCACGCACATGTAAATTGAAGAGCTATGAAAATATTCAGCCTATAATTCTATTAATCACACACATAAAAAACAAATGGAACAACTCAAGCAGTATCCAAGTTATCTATGATGTAGGAACATTATCAAAAACTTCGTGATCATGAATCAATATTAAGCACAACAATTACATTGTAGTTACACGTGAATGGTACATCATAATTAATTTTAGTTGAATCCAATGACAGTCTTTTGCATCTTTTGCTAATTGAGTTAAATTTTAAAAACAATAATTACTATAATTACAATAGGTAGGAATATTAATCGTCCGTAATTAAAACTAAATACCAATTAGTTATACAAATGTCTATCTGTAAAACAGATTGTCTGCCTTTTAAATGGGAAGTCTTTGAGTTTCAAATTTTATAATCAATAAACATAAACATTAAATAGCAGTAATTTCGTCCACATCGTGCTTGTAGGCCTATTATATTTTGTAATTTACAATGTTTATGAAGAGCATGTATGCTGAAGCCCTGTCAATTTTACCACACGTTATTCAGAATAAAATGTGAAGCTTATGAAGCTTTAAAATTAAAGTCAGTGTGAGAATGATGAGTCAGGCTCTAGATATTATGAATCTATTAAAACTTTGACATTAAAATGAGTGAAATGATAATGAATCAGACGGTACATGGGAACTGGTTTGACCAGGCGACTCACAGTAGAGCTGAGGACATCTCCAGTCCTATAGAGGACCAGGACATGTTACCACCTGATGTTGACGAGGCTACCCGGCGTATCGTGATGAGGGTGCTGATGTTTGCCGTCACCCCAGGGATCGGTGTGCTGGGGGTCGTGGGGAACGTGCTGAGTACCTTGATCCTGCTGAGACACGGCCTCAAGAAATGCTCCAACATCCTCTTGTTCAGCTTGGCCTTGGCTGACATCGTCTATCTCGTCTCCTTCAACAGCATCCCCAAAATTTTATACGAAACTACCGACATGCACGGCTTTGTTGGTTTCTCTGAATACAGTTCGAGAGTACTCATGGCATTTTATTCAGTGTTTATGACGCTTGACTTTTCATCTAGTTTCGTTTCTTTAAGAATGCCAATGCTAATAACAATTGAAAGGCTTATCGTCATTTTCTTTCCCCTTAGTGCACATCGCATTATCACTCCCAAGCGTACCTGGTGTGCGGTGACTTTTATCGTTTTGTATTCCATTGGCTTATTTGCATACACAGGATTCTGGTTTGAATCGTCATACGAGTGGGACCCAGTTCGTAATATGTCAGTGGGGTACAGAGTGTTGATCCCTCAGGACGCGAGGGACGCCGTGGCCATGAGTGTCATTGAGGACATGAGCGTCTATTCCCTGGTAGTGGACGCCCCCCTCATCACAGTCGCGGGCTGCATCGTCATCTCCATCAAAATAAAGCTAGTCTCCAGGAACCGGAAGAAGATGACCTCTAAGGAAATGTCCAGCAACCGGACCACGAAAATGCTTCTGGCGGTTTGTGCTGTCTACACTGTGACGTGTATTATAATGGTCAGCGCAATAAACTTGCCGTCTATATTTGGCCGTCCATTCTCCGGGAACCGTCCAACAGGCCTGTCTGTGATATGCTACCAAGTCTTGAACATTTTCATCTGCATCAACAGCTCCTGCAACTTTATTATTTACATTGGGCTGAACAAGAACTTCAGGAAAACATATCTTCAGCTCTGTTCATCGAAAGCAAATAAAAGGAATGTTAAATACTTTGGTAGCCAATCCATAGAAACAACTTAAAATGGAAAGGACTTACATTATACACGAAACATCAAATAATCTAGTAATATAAGGACAGCGTTTAAGAGGACATTTAAGGGGGCAGTATCACCCAGAAATTTTAAAATTGACGAAAAAATTTGCCAAAAAAAAACTATTAAACATACACACATAAATCTTTTACCAAAATAGTAAATAGCAAGGAGCTATAAAACAGCACATAAAAGAAAGTTAACGTATGATGCAAACATTTTTAAAAAATAATTTTACCAAAAAATGTTTACTAAGTAATTTTTGGCTGCGGTTTTCCAACATTTAGGCCCTTCCTTCTGAAAATACTCTCGCAGATGCACAACAGGGTTGCCTATGTCCGGGGCTAGGAGATATCCATTGTGACAAATTTTGAAAATTTTAGAATTTTTCAAAGTCAGACCAAAATTATTGAACTTTGAAATTTTTTTTTTTTTTTTTTTTTTTTTTTTCCCCGATACTTTATTTATACATAAACATTTACAAAAACGTCTAAAATACCTATTTACCCTGGTTTCTCTTTCAAAAACCGACGAGTGACTTCGAGGAGCGAGTCCTCACATGGTGTACCTTTGTATGCTCCTTCATGCCCTCTAATGGGAGGGATACGGTACAATCTCGGCAGTCATACAGTGTTACTTCTTGATGATTTTCTGCAAAGTGCGCGTATATGTCTGTGTGGTACCCTTTGTCTACACAAAGATCACACCGTAAGAATCTATAGTGCATTCTATGTTCGTGCTTTTCCGTTTCCTCAGCTGTTCTATTTTGTTCTGGGCAGAACCTACAGCGTTTGTTGTCATGAGTAAATTTTTTACTTTTTATTATTTTTTTCTCCTCTGTGGGGCTATCTTCCTTCTTCCTTTTGAAGCTTGCAAGAGTGGTGTCCATGTCTGAGAAAAAGAACGGAGCGTTCAATGTTAGAGCTCTTGACGTAGCTGGTTTGTCTGACTTCGACCTTGCTGCAGTTGCTTGTTTGCTTGGTGTTGATGGTGTACTTGCCGGCCTGGATGGGTTGATCGGTTTTTTGATCGTTGCTTGTTGTTTGCTTGGTGATGGTGTTGTCTGGGCGGGTGTTGCTTCTAGCTGGCTGCTTGTTGTTGGAGGTGGCTTGGCGATTGGAGTTATTTGCTGGCTGCTTGGTGTTGTTGCTGGTTGGTCGGGTGGCGCTGGTTGTTGTGCTGGGGGCTGTTTTTTGGGCGGTGTTTTCGGGTTCGGTGCTGCGTCTTCGGTTGAGGAGTGTTGCTGATTACTTGGCATGGGGCCTTGTAGAGCGGATGGAGCTGTAGATTGTGCTGGTATTTGATCATTGGGCGTTGATTCTAGGTTGAGAGTTTGACAGCGGTTGGTCCAGTGTGAAGTTGACGAGCAGGTTTGGCAGGCTTGTTTTCTGTCGTTGATGGCTATTAGGATGTTGTGTGACTTGTTTCTGTAGTTTAATTGGATGTAGTGGGGGATGTTTGCTGGATTGTCAGTGTGTATGGAGAAGCTACGGTTGGTGGTGAGAGGGATTGTGTATATGGAAGGTTCTTTGTTACTGTAGGGTTGTAGTGCTTTAATGAGTGTGCGATCGCTTAGTGTAGGTGGGACCCATCTAAGGGTTCCGTTGACTCTGTTCTTTTCGTGTAAAGTGAAGAATAGTGTGTAGGGACCGTGTGTTTTGTGTGTGTTGTGTAGGGTGGTGACGTCGAAGGCATTTGATGTGAAGAACCACGTGTCTGCACGACCATAATTGAGGAGGAAGATCTGTTGGTTGCTTATTAGTTGTCGAAGGATGTGACCTCTTAGATTGGGTTGACCTCCTGAGTTGATTGTGACTTGAATGGTGGGTGAGTCAGCCGGGAAGAGTTCTGGACAGTCCTCATCAGGTAGATCGAGTATGGCGGTGGTGGCTGAAAGGGGTTGGGCCCTGGATTTCATTAAGCCCCCCGGACCGTAGTCCGGGAGGCTCCTCCCCAAGCCTCTCGGCCCAGGGGGAACATCCGACGGCGCAGCCCCTCTGTGAACGTTGACTATATTTGCATATGTCGTTGAGCTAGGCTGTGACATCGTAGGGAGCGTAGAACTTTGAAATTTCCTAAAAAATTTATCTCTCAATAGAATACTATTATCTTAGTCCCGGACGTAACCAATAACGCAAGGAAGGTTTATACCAAATTTTATGTACTTTACGTATGGTTTCGAGAAAATGTTTACAAAAAATTAAAAATGTGATAAAATATTAACAAAATAATTTTTTGACAATTTATTGCCAGACATATACCCTACAATTTATATACTGTATTATAGCAGAAGAAACGTTACAATTGCTGTAAAAATTTGACATGTGTATGTCAAATAGTTTTTTTTTGGTGATAGTTTTTGTTTCCCTCCCTTAGTCTGGGTGATACTGCCCCCTTAAGAAGACGTAAGAACAAAGCCGAATTGAACTTTGAACTTAGGTCATGTGTTAGATCACTGTACGAGCCTGAGAATCTTTAAAATAAAGAGGGCTGTCGAATGTCGTATCACTTGCAATGTTTAATGCGTTACAATTCATTATTAAATTTGAGCTACCGTTTTAATGATATAACTTTGTTGTTTCTATTAGGTTCCAACACTTTTATCAATAATATAAACTTTCTTTTTCTTCTTATTCGTTCTTAATTTTAGTGTAATCCTATATATAATCCTAATAATATAATCTCTCTCTCTCTCTCGCTCTCTCTCTCTCTCATCCCTCTCTCTCTCTATCTGTCCGCAAAATATTTTCGCAGGATATCACATCAGAATCTTCAGCGATATATGGAGAACTTGATACGGACTTTTGTTGAAAATAATATGTTAGATGTTTTAAATGTATTAACACAATTTTATTCAAAGAAGAAAAATAAAAAATAAAGGCGTAATCGAATGTAGAAAAACATATTTAATTATGCAACCGGAAAAGTGTTTATAGTTGGGACAAGAACGCATTTAACAATGACGTCACATAATGTTTACACTAAGGAAAGAGCACGAAACTAATGACGTCATCTTCCGAATTTAGAATAAAATAAAGAAATGAAATATTTCATTCAAATATGATTTAGAGCTAAGTACGCTATGAAACTATGAAATGTATACAATACGATTTTCCCGGCCTAAACTTATAAAACGTACTTAATCTATTTGGATTCTAGATCTAGAGATTCTAGATCTAGACTAGATTTACGCAAAAACTAGACTTAGACGCTAAGATCTAGATTTAAACTCTAGAATCTATTCCAATAATAAATTTCTATATTAAACTATTTCAGGCCTTAATTATTTTATAGAAATCTTTGTTTGTTTAAGCTATGGAACTGGCTAATTTGGGATAAAAAAAAATTATTTGAAAGAATAGGTCTATTCGCTTAATTTTAGTTTCTTAACTACGTCTGTTATTTTTCATGTCGCATGAGGTGCCTCAATAGCTGAGATGATAGTGTACTCGATACAAGGCGGGTGATACGAGTACGAGACACACGAAGCCAAACTGAATTCTTTTTTTTACGTGAATCTTCCGATTTCAGAATAATAAGAAAGGAACTACTTCATTTAACTTTGATTTAGATATAGATCTATAGATCTACTTATCAAGACGTACGCTATGAAATATATACAATTTTATCGGTCAAACTAATACAAATTACTTTAAAAAAAAACACATAATGACCATTGAATAGCTAGATTTTTATCGGAATCATTTAAGTCTCTTAATCCGTGTGTGCATTTAATATGGTATTCTGTTGACTAATAATATATATAATTTGGTTTTAATTTTTCGAATACGTATTGGTAGTTATTTTAAATGTGTCGGATTTTTAACTATTTAGTTATATCTTTGCATGGTCACGAATATTGTTCAACATGTAGTAAAGCACATTGCGTTTTAACCAATAACTATTTTATAAAAAATTTGAATATTGGTAGCCTTTGTTTATTTAAATGTGCCGGATTTTTAGCTATTTGGTTATTTCTTTGTTTTGTCACTAATATCTCAACGTGTAGTGTTGCATTTTAATCAATAACTATTTTATAACTTATTATTTCCAAATATGTATAACATTAAAAATACATACGCCTATAATAATTCAAGTGTAACGGGTACCGATGGCTAGTTCGAGAATAAAAGGTCTGTCGGAGAAACTCTTTTCTTGATTCTAAGATAGTATGCTAAATAATACAAAATATTGCAATCGATGATAGCGCATTACCTAATTACTCTGTTGGCATTGGGTTTGTCAATTTGTTTTATTCTAATGATCACATTCAGAAAGTGGACAAATGGAAATCTCAACGCACGCGAATGGCTCTAAATCAATATTTTTGACGCTTTGCTTAATGATTTATTTATTATTAATATGAGTCAGAGTTTCTTCCAAGCATCTCTTCGGGGGTGCAATTTTCGCGCCCTGTGTTATCCTGTGAGCGCTGTGGTGCATACTTCCGTTTTGAAGCTGTGGGTAAAAAGGATTACCATAGACGTTCTCTAAATCAAAACCAGGGCGTCCCTATGCGCCCCGACAGGGTGCTATTTGGCGCTCTGGGCCTTCCCGTGAGCGCTATGGCGGCTATGTTCAATTTAAACAGTTCGATAGACTATGGATTAGAAGGCTTACTATAGTATTTCACTAAATCGAATCCAGGGCGTTATCAGGCGCCCCAACATAGTGCTATTTGGCGCTCCGGGCCTTCCCGTGAGCACTTTGGCGCCAGCTCCAAATACGTGAGTGCAATAGACTATGGATAGGTTAGGGTATGATAGTAGTTTACTCAGTTGAATCAGGTGGGTCCGACAGGGTAAGTTTTGGCACCCCGGGCTAGACTGTGAGCAACATGCGTTTATGTTTGCTTTTAAATTTGTGTTTATATTTGCACTATTTTATGAGTTATGTTAACATTTAGGTTTGCGTTTGTGTTTGCGCTTTTATGTGTATTTGTATTTTTGTTTGCGTTTGTGTTTGTTTTTGTGTTTATGTCTGCGTTTG